CCGTCACAAAAGCAGTTCCCATCAGCAGCTCTCAGTTCCATGATCTTGAACTTGTTTTCTTGTGAGTCGTCGACTATTAAGGCAAAGTGAGTTCTCCTAAATGTGATTACTCCTGCTCGAACCAACAAATGCCTTTTGGCGTCACCATGCGTTAACGCTTCGTGGAGAAATGCAGCTCCTTTTGCAAATGCGGCAATACGACATATGCGTGATAGAATAATGGCTTCTTTCCTCCACAAAATAATAAAAGGCACGCAGGCATTATTGTTAGAACGATAAAAGATTTTATTATGTTTGCGTTACACGATGTTATACTAACCAGTAGCTTACTGCTCGAAAAGAAAGATGTTTCACAACAAAATTAAAATTAATACATACTCTTCCTTCCTGATATTAACTGAAAATTAGTTTCTCCAGTAATGTTTTTTATTAGCACTGGTCACCCTTTTTCGGAGGCGATTGTGGCAACATAAAAAGGTCGACGGTCCCGAAGCCTTCCCCTTTGTATCTCGCCTGCATCTCCGCGCACACAGTGAAAGAAAAAATCCACAACTCTACGTAAGATACAAAGCGTACAATTTGCTGTGCTAATGCCAAAAATAAAGGATAACGCCTCAAAAGATCAGAGCTTTAAAAAACATCGTAGCTGAAAGATGCATCTGCAAGATCACAATGACTAGATTCACGTAATAGGCAATCTGCCTCACATGGATGACATTCTTCTTCAAAATATCTCTAATTTCATACTTCCGTATCCTTGATAACTTTAAAAGATATTTAAAATTTTCAATAAAAACCCTGGCTACATGCATTTTTGTCCTTTGAATGACAGAACTTTCTGTAAGTCTGAGACGGAACTGATACTATTTTGAAGAAAAAGTTTCTCATATGAAGAGCACATAAGAAAGTTGAATGCAATCTACCCTCTAAATTCTGTGAATTTATTAATGATCTGCCACAATAGAGAGTGTGTATCCATGATAACATGCTTATAAATGTATTCTCAGTCTCCTTAATTGGCTTGATGTGGATTAATTCAGATGATAAATTGACTTTCAAAAGTTCAAGGTGAGTCCACCTTGCCAAATCTCTAAAGCTGGTTATGTAAGTATTTTATTGACCTATCACGCAGTGTGTTGGAATGATTGATTTTTGTAGCAATATATGATGAGATAATGAAAAGGGGAATTCTTTTGAACAAACCATTAAATTTCCTTTATAAACACAAAATGATTAATGCACTGGCCTGCATTGAATTTCTAAATGTTCTTATGAACAGACTACGCCTCGCCCCGCCTTGTTCCGCCTCTTCCCACCTTGCCTGGGCCCGCCTTGCCTGAGCTTGCCTTGCCCTGCCTTGCTCCGCCTTGTCCTGTTTTGCCCCGCATTGACAGCCCCAAACCGCCAACAATCTTCACTAATTTTCTAATAATATATTAAAGAAATCTATACTAAAAGAAAAATAAGCTTCATTTTTTTCCAATTCATTATGGCTTGTTATTGCCTTCAATACGGAGCAGAACTCACCTGGATCGGGAGGAATACGACGAGGGTAATAAAAAAACAGTTGAATGACGCAGCATGTTCTCTTGCGGAGAAAATTATGAAAGGGAATTATCGGAGGAAAAAGTAAAAAGGCCGAAGAAAATCGACACATTACAGAGTCAAGTTAATATCTTGTTAATTAAGTAAATATGTCAATATAAAAAATACAATATTGTATGCATGACGGGCAGAAAGTCGAGCAGCGACAAAAGGTCTTTGGTCCGAAGGATGCGAAATAATTCGTTGATATTTAAATAGCTGTAATTGACATTTTAATCTTCACTAAGGAGAGACTCCAAATGGCTTGGGGAAAGCAAACCCAAAGTAAACTAAGATTATTGTATGTTTCCTCGTTTCAAGGGGTAAAACTAGCACACGTTACTGCTGTCGGTTTAATCACATTACACCTAGATTCTCAGTATTTCTCCGTCGACGGACCACCTACAACCCCGAACAAATTACGCGGACACTCTGAACGTAAATCCTTTGAAAACGAAAAATCTCTCGGCGCGTCTCATAGCGCGTTAAGGACTCCTGCACACGACCAATAAATGACGTATATGTTGATTGACTGAAGGATTGCAAATTAATAAGGCTGTCTTTGAAGATTCGTCCTGTTCGCCCACGATGCAGTTATAAGCTGAGGCATTTCATTCTCGTAAATGCTAAGAAATGACATCAATTTGCATATTCTTCCGTGGTTAAACTCGAAAACTCGAATCCAAAAATGGATTCAAAAGAAATCATCCTATAACACGTTTTTTTTTCAAGAAATTGATCCTCGTCAATTTTACGCTGTAGTTCTCTCATATTTTTTGAATAATTACTCAATATAGATCAATCATAAATATTAAGTTCATTATTAACTTTCACAATTAATTCAGGAGACTCTATAAATAAATGTGTTAAGAGGACCACTAACGAATATATAGTTAAGTTTCCCGACAACCGCTGCATGTTATATAATAACTTGTTTACAAGTCGTTTCCTAATTTAATTTTTTACATTTTCTTTTGAGCAACATATTTTCCATCAATTGCAACTCATATCATTCAATACGACGAGCGTCTAGTAATAAATATGTTTATTGATCTTTCTTTTGTTCTCTCTTTTTGATCAACAATTAAAGGGTCTGAAATTGTTGACTTTAGGATCAAGAAAACACTAGTAATTTGCATTTACTTGAAGAATGAATGTCACATCATTAGCTCATTTGAAAAAAGAAACGTATTATTAACTTAGGGGTTAGTCAGTCATATTCATAAAGCCAGAACTGTAAGTAAGAACTCTACAAAGTATCTGAGTCATATTAAAAAGTACCCACCTTCCGAAGAAACAAGTGACCGAAAATATATTAATTACCAAAATTGAGCTCATACAAATACTAGTGTAATCATAGTAACAAAACAGATATTCTCCAAAATTTATTTTCACATTTCCCGAAGTTTCCAATTAATGTTTTGTTTTCCTTGAAGTCAATTGATACTTGAACAAAAATCTTACGAACTATTATTCCTTTGTCATTCCCTTACGTAAATTATGAAATAAAAACTCAAACGTGTGTACATTACTCGTCCACGGTCTAAAGTATTAGTAACGTGAAGATGTTTTTTCAAATTAGGCAGTCGCCGTGTAATATCTTCAAATTTATCACAAGTCTGTACCCCCAAAAAAAGGATGTTAAATGAAAAAAATCAAAAACGGAATAATAAATATTTCATGCTTTTTGTAACAAGCCACTAAATCGTGACGTACTATAATAAAAAAGTAATTTCAGCAGAAGCATACTAATCATATCCCATTGCTCGAACGCTTCTCCCCTAAAGCATTCACAGACCTTGAAGGATCTGGGATAAACATCACGAATTGTGAAGGTCTAATGCATCACGTGTTAGCTTACGCAAAGATACTGTATGATTTTTTGTTTCAACATATTTCTATTAACATATTGAGAATATACTTCATGAATGCAATTTGTCTTATTTATGTGCTCATTGTAGGGGTTAGTGTGATACCACTTTTAACGACAATCCCCTAATTCTCTTTAATTTTAATATATTGAATATCTACGAAACAGAGCCTAAATCTACACGCCATTGACTGATGAATAAGTGACAACTCCACGAAACATGGTTTTAGTAGGAGAATATTACATTTATAATGACTTGTGATGAAAAATATCTTGCTATTATAATTTGTTATATCAAAGGGTCTCTAGAGCAACAGTAAAAACGAAACTTACTTAAATTAGATGAATTATGTACAGTCATTAACGAATAACATTTTTTACAAAGGGTCCAAACATCATTATTTCATGAATGTGCTTTTGTAACACAGTATAAGGGTCAATAAGTACCACGAAAGTATCACATCCGCTCTGATAAATTAGTTTATCTTTTCTAATAACAGCGTAATGTGTTAAGATGTTTTAGACAAACAAAATTCACAAACAAAACGTACGAAACACGAAAAAAATTACAGCAGGTAAATTATTCCATATTTATTGCATATTTTATATTAGATCATTTGCTTTCTATACTGATAACTTTTCGGTATGGTATTCCTTCATTTTTATTTTTGGCCAGATCCTGCAAGTAATACAAGGCAATAGTAATTAATACAAAGAGCCCCTTAGAATAATGCATTGTATGAATTATTTGATCGCGTTTGAATAATTTCGTTATCCGCCAAATAAAGTGGATGGCATTATTAAGATAGAGTGGGATATAGATTAATTCATAAATGTTCTTCCTTACTAATACATAAAATTAACTTTCCTATAATTTTGGTATAGTTGAAAAACAAGCATACTACGACTTAAACGCGCATACTTTATTTTTACGATTCACACCCGAAACGTTAATTACGAAGAATTCTCATAAAATAATTAAAATATTAAGAAAATACCCCTGATGTGTGTGAACCAATTTTCATATCCTAATAAATGTTCACGTACATTTTTGAAACATCGTATAATACAGTATATTCTTACAAAATACATAAATCAACATCAAAATTACCTCTGCATTGAGGTTATAAAAGTAACATGTCAGCGTTTTGGGCAACTTTCATATCTTGAATACATCGTTTAAGAAGAAAATTTTTGTCATGAGTGAAATCGATGGCAGGTTTCTCCTGAATTTCGATTCCAACAAATGTATTGCTGCAACCTTGAAGAAACATTTCCAGTGAATCAAAACCTTAAAAATAAATAAAAAAAGTTGCTCAAGCCAAATTTTCTATTTTGATGCAAATTACCTTCCAATTTTTGTGATTCTGTCAGCCCATGTTTAAAAACCGTGTACTTTCAGCTGGTCAGGCTTGGCGAGGCCTGATCGCGTGAGCCACCTGCAGATGTTCTCGCGTTGGTCCCCTTGCAGTTGCAGTACTTCTCCGTATTCTGGGTGCTCGACAACAGTCCCATTACACGCGAATTCCTTCTTACACGCACGTACAATCTTTTTCAAGTCGTATTCTGCGGAAAGACCCTGCACCGTAGTTAAGGTCTTGCGCCCGTTGCGCTGCTGGATTCTTATGTGCACAAGACCTTCCTGAACATCGTCATCACCTCCCTTGATTGCATCGGCCAAGGGGTCAAACGCATTGAGATTTTGCAGGGACATGCGATAAGCACTAAATGTCCGGAGCCAACAGACAGACAATCTCTTCACAAGAAAAATAAAATATGTTCACTAGTTCGTTATTTCAAAATGTCGTGAATTTTCTTCTAGTATGAAAATAAGACACTTGACGTTGGCGATAAAATGTTTTACAGTAACTAAATCACAGAAGTTTCTGACGGATTGCACTAATAAAAAAGCCCTAGCAAAAAATCTGAAACTAAACAAACTAGTAATTTTGAAGGCCACTTTTCAGGGCCCCCTGCGAACTGATATTACGTAAAATATTTAAGATATTGTTGGGCGATCTATTTTGCATTATGGCACTATGTTCGTAAGAAGGAAAGGAATAAAGTTTTGCTGATTTCAAAAATTATTAAAGTACATTGACCCATATTTAATTTTGAATCGAGTGCAAAGAGTACATTTAATAAGCAGAACATTACTTTGTAGTCATTTGTATTTTAATTCTATCTTTAAAAATTTCTCAACGTTTGTAATGTCTGGAATGAATAATGAAGTTTTAAAATTCATAAAAAATTCAAAACATTGGAATGTTTCCCCAAATTTGATATATTTATCAAAATAATTGTCATAATAAAAATTGTTTTACATTGCGAGTTTGGCTGAATATCGAAAGTAAATTATTTATTTCGCTAGCTTAAACATCCGATTAAAATGTAAATTCCTGCAAGATATCACACAATGTTTATCTTTTTTAATAATCAATAACATAAATCAATGTACTTCTTTCGAGAGATTGGAAAATTGCGCATTCAATGCTTTTGGAAGCAATTTGAATGAACGAATAAAATAACTGCCAATTTTCTTGTAACCGTCTAGAAAAACGCCATTTTCCAGCCATTCACTACCATGGCTAGAAGTTCAAAATTTAAAAATGAGGTAACTAGCAATAAAGTTAGAATCAAGTCGATTGATATGTTAAATAGAATCCATGAATGAACATTAATATGAAAACTGAAAATCAATCAAAAGGATTAAAAATACTACACAACCAAAGGAAAAGTAATGGCAAACGTTTTTGAAAAATGGCAACTGAAGAGACACAACAGTACAAAATTATTACGGTTTCTTTATTGCTACGCATGCATTCAACACTCCGGCATTTCCAACAGCGCTATTTTTCTTTTCGGAGACTTTCGGCCAACTAACCCGCCACCAAAAGGCACAGGCCTAATCCGCTCATATGCTAATAGGCCTAATAGGCTCATATGCTGGGGCCCTCGCCCCCCAGAGTGCCGATGCGTAAAGACAGCCCTGCGCGGGCGGTGACAGAAGAAGGGAAGCGCAGCCGACGGTGGCGCTCGCGCGGTACTCACGAACAGAAGTAGCCCGGCGAGGAGCATGGCTGCGGCAGCAGGGGGCGTCCGTGCCGGTCTCGGTCAGCACTGCAGATGCGCGCCATTCTCGCGTTTTCCCGTGCTGCGCGCCGCCCGCGGGCCGTCCGGCGCCGCGGAACCAGACGATGTGAGGTGAGGGGGGTTCTGCATGTGAATATGCCCGGCGTAAGCCCTTTACGGGTTTTGATGATTCCATGATTCGGAACTTGGAAATAAATTTAACAGTGTAGTTGTAATTTTCCATACTAATGTACACAGATTTTTCAATACGAAAATGAACTGTAACCATCAGTAATCGTCTCTTCCATGAATCCATAACAAAATGTTTCCAATCACCTGTCATATCACTAACATAAATGTTGCTGGGAGAAAGAACCCGAGTCAATATTTATTCTTAAAAACATAATTGCAACGGTTTTGGCACTAGAAAAAATTATTTACGGACAACTAATTTCTAATGATTTGGATTTTAGAAATCCTTAAAATAAAGTATTTGGGAAGAGTTATAGATAATATTTTTAAAAAATAATTTGTTTGTGAAGCATTAATATTTCGACAATACTAGTTTATTATATAATTTGATTATTGTACTTTACACAATTGTGCAAATCGCATGACCAAAGTATTTGCGTCAAAAAAAATGAATTCGTAATTGCACAAGATGTAGAGAGAATCACATCGCCGAAAATGTAAACTTATTTTTGTACTTCCACGCCATTGTTAATTTTTTTATTATCTGGTGCAATGTCGGTCTTATAGACAACAAGAAAAGTGTGCTTATCTGAAGGATTTTGTCTGATATCTATTCTCTGATTAAGGGGTTTTGAGTTTTATGCACGTAAACTTACATAGAATGATGTTAAATAGAAAAACTAATATATGTAAGCAACTCGTGGGCGAGACCTGGAAGAACCAAAGGAAAAAACTGAACGTCTCTCACATTCACAGTACCTCACATGACGTTTTATCTCTTCACATGGCATGATAATCTTACAATTGATTAAAGAAATGAGCCAAAGAGGCCGTACTGAATCCGTTCATTTCGCTTTCCATTTTTTTTTCTCATGTACAGCATCTACAATCTGTGATATCGCATGTTCTATTGCATCCATTCAACTAATCACAACGGTTGATTCACATTTTTCATTTTTTATTTCTCTGTCAGATAAGATAGTCGTTTCAACTAACTCCAGAAATATGTCTTAAATTTGATATGATTATATATTTATTAGGATATTTCTTTTTTACTCTCGTTTTCTAAAACTTTCCTAGTTTTCAAATGTTGCTAACCTCACTCTGTTGTTAATTTTATTCATAATGAATTTTTTTGTGCAGTATAAGGATGAGGAAGGAATTCTGGAGCTCAAGAAAACGTGCTCAAATTTGTACTTCTCCCCCAAACATCACAGTTTCTACTGCTTTTGACGAAAATATATCAAATATTTTTCTTGCGTTTTCCTGGTTTCGGTCAGTTATAAATCAATACTATTTTCTTAATACCTACATGTTTGTTTTGGATTTTCTCTTTTCAAGAAAGCATGATTGAAAAAAGAAATTTGTTATGGACGTTTTGGCGTTTTTAAATTAAATCATAATTTCCGTTGATATTCCGTACTATATTATCTATACCGATCGTATAGAAAGTTGTGTTCAAGTAGTTTCAATACAAAACAAATTAAAGATGGATAGTTCTTTATCAATTTGACGTCTGTTGTCGATAATAATTGTCTAAAGACCAAAAAGTATAACGAGTCACCAACCACATATCTGGGATCAAATTTAACACTCCTAAATTCAAATCTATAGAATGGTCCTTCTTGTGCTATATAGATTGCTGACTCATCTAACCATATCGACGCTTGTGAATGAGGAACAAAAGAACTTTCTTCCTTCATCAATATTATTACGCAACAAAGCTGCCGATGTCTATCATGAAGGAACGACAAAACTGGTTCTTGTTGGTTCCGCCTCTCGACCTTTCGCATTGTTAAACCGATACCAGGTAACGCCCCGCCCTTGAAAAGCCTCCAGACAAATTTTGACACACGAAACACCTGCATTAAATAATATGACTGTGTAAGTTCAAGTGAAGAGGTATACTATCAAGAAGAAATCACACATCGAATAACCACCCTTGTTAATCATGTAAGTAGGACAGTCACATTCAACAAGAAACTTTATACCACATTACGTCTGTGAACAATAAAAGTGGCACATGTGAAAAATTGTATTTTAGAAGTGTGAAAAATGTGTTGAGAAAAACTCTGTTATTGGTAAAACTTTCTTTAAGATATGTCTTAGGACTCTTTCATTAAGACTGTCGGCATGTAGAGAACATTGTGCTTGACAGTGAAATAAACGGCTCTGCTCAGACTTAACTCGTTCTGCAAAATTGCAAATTTTTGGGGTCATTTTTCTTCTGCAGCGACGATTTTTTCTACTCTACATTTTCTACTTACGTGAATATTTTTTTTTAAATATTGAAACAAAGTTAGAGATATCTCTAAACTTAGCTCAAAATCAAACACTGCCTACCAGCAGATTCCAATTTTACCTACTGTGCTTATGATACTAATAAAATAGTTAATAGTATATAATATACAAAGATAGTATTATACAATTGTCACACTTTCAAAATCTAAAAGAAATAGACAAGAAGAAGAACGAAGTATCAGTTAAAATCGAACACTCCGAAAAACATCATAAAAGTATGGACGTAGATCATCAGAGCCCGGATTTTGATGAATATAAAATATTAATTGATTAATTGGATTGTTGGTGAGGTAGATACCATTTTATTATGATAAATAAATAAAGATATTGTCTGTATCAATAATATTCATAATATATAATATCAATAATATATACAAATATTGATACCAGACAATATCTTTATTTATTTATCAGAATATAAAATACTTCAAAATTTTCCAAATAACCGGAAAGAAAATGTCCATTATATGAAAAACTTCAGACTTTGGTGAACACTTATTGCTTGACATAGCACAATGCGCGACCAAAGACGCATGTCGAGGTTGACTAGCAACTTTTTTCGCAAATTTTGATGATGGTAGTATGTTGATGTTCACGCGTCATTAAATACTCAATTCACAAATTCTGTGATTGCTGTTCTTAAGTCAAGATTTGATCAAATTGACTGAAGAACATTAACTATTAGCTTGAAGCTAAATACATTTTCTTTTAATAAAACAACTAAAGACAGTTGTCTGTAACTAGTGGTGCTACACAACACATACTTTCCCGCATTATTTCTAAATTTGAAAGTTCTTCCTTCTTCTATCTAAGGCAAAAGTTAGAAGAAAAAATTTGAGAAAAAATTTCCTTTAGAAATTGCATAAACTTCAGACATAAAGTGTGACAATTCACTATATTTTTTTCAAAAATTTACATAACATTCTTTCAAAGATCTGATTATCTATAATTTCTACAACATCATTCTCTTCAATTTCGTAGTTAAAACATAATTACAAAATTACTTTGGTACTAAGTTATTGTCAATTGGAACGACACATGGATTTTAAAAAAACTTACAAGAAATAGTTTCATTTGGAAGAGGAAGTCAGGCAGCATTAAAACAGTCAAGAGCCACACTTTCGAATATACCCCACGTGGGTCGTTTCA